TTTCTGAAGAATTCTTGACAATTGCATGACAGCAGCTACTGCATGAGTAGAGGTCTCGGCTAATCCCATTTTATCAAGCAACATGCTTTAAAACAGGCTGGGAACCACTGCCTTTCCCCCTACCGCTCCATCCACCTCGAATTTCTTGCAAGATCTGGTGACTCCAACCCAAACAGGCAGCACAAAATCAAATGGCAACAATTCACGACAGTGAAAGTGTGTCACAACAACACCCCGCGAAAACATGCAAGCAAAACATAACAACTGACCTAGAGCTCCTTGAACCTAGAATAACTCCCATTAAATGCTGGAAGCAAGCACTAATTTTTAGATTATCTCTGGGTTACAACAATTGAAAAATCCTGACCAAACTGAGAGAGCAGACAGGCATATAAAACTGTAGGCTGGACGAAACGGCAAGAGACCCGCCAAATGTGTTTCCAAACAGGTCAAACAGAAATGAACAAACTTCTAACAATGTAAAGATGAGAAAAATGCAACAAGATTTAACATGACTTAAATAAAGTCTCAGAAAACTCTGAAACACAGTTTCATACATCCAGGAACACTTACCTTGTGGGTTCCCCAAGGTCCATGGAATGTTGGATGGGACAGCATTCCTTTCTCTGGCATCAATCTTCTACATCTTGGGATATTCTACCCCTAAAAATGGCTTTGGATCTTAGCGGAATATGTCTTTTTTTGTTTGTTTGTTCTGGAGGCAAAGGAGACCCCTCCCCCAATTGAAATATAGTTCACAGAGACCCATATACTAATTCTTAAGCAGGACAAGGACAAGAAAGTGGGTGTTAACAGTTTGAACTCATCAGCCACTTCTTGGGAGAAGGATGAGGCTTTCTGCTCCTTTAAAGAAGTGACTGGTGGGTTCAAACGGCTGACTTCACAGTTAGTAGCCTAATGCATACCCCACTGTACCTCCAGGATTCCTTAAGCGAATATAGCTGAAAGCCAACTCACCACCATCGAGTCAATTCTGACTTACAGAGGTCCTACAGGACAGAGCAGAACTGCCCCTGTGGGTTTCCAAGACTAACTCATTATAGGATTGGAAAACTTCAGGCTTGTTGGTGAAGGAATGCTTGGGTAAGGCCAATGGTTAAGCACTCTACTGCTTACTAAAAGGTGAATGGGTGGATCTTGCCAAAGGTAGCTGGGAAGAAAACCTATTTGCTTCCAAAAGGCCACAGCTGTGAAAACCTGTGGAGCACAGTTCTCCTCTATAAGGAATCTCCAGGACTCAATGGCACCTGGTTTCGTTTTGGGTTTGCTGTCTTCCAGGGAGTCCAGAGTGACCCACCTCAAACAAGAATCAGGCAGAAAGACAGAAGTCCTTCATAGTGCAGGCTTTAGAGTTGACAAGAGTTTAGGAGTGAGCTAATGTCAGACTTTCAAAAGCAGTGTACCCGAAAATTGTGTCCAAGACTTTTTGGCAAACAAGTCTGAACCCCAATGGACACCTCCAGGTGAAGGATACTTCCATTTGCCAGTGGATCCAAAGATCAAAATCATTAGCATTCCTTGGCTGCTGGAAGAATGGTGTCTTGTAAATTCAGCAAAGACATTTGCTTTTTATGTCATGAACAAAGGACTATGACATTTATCCCAGGGATTGTTGAAGAAAATCATATTGTGCCCTGATTTATAGGACATTAACCCCTCATGTATGATAAAATAATGTAGCATAAAAGGAAATGATTACTCATTTCAGATCCCAAGTCTATACATTAATTCCTGGGTTAAGCAAAAATAATTAGCAATGAGGTGAGATTCAAACATTTTTAACATGTCGGACATATATGCCAAGTGGCAATTGTTAAGGTGGGAAATCACGTACATTTTATAAATTGAAACAATAGACATTTAGATTGTTGTGGGAATTATTTTTTTCAAGATTAGCTCAGAAGATTCATTTGGCCCCAACTGCTGCTGTCTGGCACCATGATAATAGTGTTCTCTTTTCATTAAAAACTTCTTCCCGAAGTTCAAAAAAAGAGCCCTGATGGTGAAGTGGTTAAGTGCTCAGCTGCTAACCGAATAGGTGGCAGTTCGAATCCACCAGGGGTTCCACGGGAGAAAAGATCTGCTTCCATTGAGATCATAGCTTTGGAAGCCCTCTGAGGAAGGTCTATTCTGTCCTCCAATAGGGTTGATAGAAACTGGAATTAACTCAACAGCAATGACTTTAGGCTTTTCTGTTTGATTGTTTAACTTCCAGAAACAAACCACTCTCCCCACATTCACCAGACCGCATGTATTTTCAGTACACATGCAATGACTGGGACCCATTCCATTAATCACTTTATTCTTCCAGAGTCAGAGAAAGCACTATGATTTTAGCAACTTGAAATCGGAACCGCTATTTTGGCACAGGATTAGCTCCATGACACCGATAGAGTGTGTCATCATACTTTTTATTACAAGGATCTGTAGATGCGTGTTATAAGCACATCTCTTGTAATCCAACACATCTGTTCTGAAGGAAGTACAGCAGGAATGCTCCTGAGAGTTGAGGATGCCATGGCGTTAT